CCCCCCCCCCCCCCCCCCCGAAAACAATTGCCATTTTGCTACATTAACACTGTAGCTAAGGCATCTGAAAGGAAGGGTTAAGGAGATAGGAACCACTTCCGTATCCTATAGAATACCATAGAAGCTTCAATGGCTGGTGCCATAATATGATACTAGAGTCCAGTGTCCAAAGAATTCAGTCGTTACTCCTTCCCCTGTTAAGCTCGGTTTTTTTTTTCATTTTTGTTTGGGCTTTTTTATTCCAGGAATGCAATATATCCCTGGAAACGAGATCAAGAGTCTAGACCCCTGCTCGGCTTCCCTACTAATGGGATGCAGCAGTGGTTCCTTGATCTCCAACGGGGCCTACATCCCTCAGGGCGCTCCTTTATACTTCCTCTCAGCAGGTTCTCCGATCATAGTCGCCACTCTGTGGGACGTGACCGATAAGGACATAGACAGGTTTGGCAAGGCAATGCTGGAGTGCTGGTTCAGAGAAAGGTCAACGACAGCCATTAATGGAGGCTGTGATCAATGCATGGCTGGTGTTTCAGAGGAGTTTGAGTGCCTGGACATAACAGGTAAAAAGGGGAAGGGGAAGAAGGGTATGAACAAAAGTAGTTGTAGTTGTAGGCATAGGCCTAGAGTGGGGTCGTTCATGGGGCAAGCTCGTAAGGCATGTGTCCTTCCATATTTGATTGGGGCAGCCCCAGTCTGCTATGGTGTCCCCACTGGAATAACAAGAAAAACTGATTAATTAATGATAATGGTTTTTTTATTTTATTTTTTTTTTAAATATTTCCTTCCCTCATAAATGTGTAGAAAATTAACACTCTTTTGTTAAAGAATGGAATGGAATGTTCTTTTCCTGAAATTCAACTCTAGAATTTAAAATGTTGAGGTTCGCCTTCTAAACTTCATCGTAGAAGAAACATTCCATTCTTTTGTCCCAAAATAAATTATTTACTCCTTTTAAAGATATGATTAAATTGTTTTATTTATCTATTTTTTTTTATAAATTTCAATCATGCAACTTTTTAAAAAAAAATTTGGTAAAAAGCATTAAACAATTCAGTGTTTTATTTATACAAAAAAAACAATGTTTTGTTTGGTAGTAAAGCTACTGACACAAATTAAAATACGGTGATTATAAGTTATTCTTTGTTCATTTTTAGAAACACTTCAAACGCTCCTTGTCCACTAAATTTTATTTGGAGATAGTTGAAATATATGCTAATTAAACATATCAAGCGTTCGTTGTTCAATTTTTAAAAACACTACATTTATTAATAAGATACTCCCTCCGTTCCAAATTATAATGCCTGTTTACTATTCACAGGGTCAAACTTCATTCACTTTCTTTCTCTATTTTCGTTAGCAATTTGATAAAATAAAATATTATTGTGACTACTTGTTTTGTAGATCTTTTGATGTAGTTTTTTAATATGTAATTTTTATTTTTTAATTCTATACCATTTGTCATATAAAATGGTTTGAAAATAATTTCAGTCAAACATCGTAAACCGAAACAAGCGTTATAAATTGGGACGGAGGTAGTATAAGTTACTCCGTGTAAAGCTAAGACATTTTCGCCAAGGCTAATAGCATTGGTATGGTTAGACATAATGGGTTTACATTCATAACCACACCCTCCCACAACAACAAAAAAACAATGAGTAATTTCATAAGAACATAACACCTTGTCACAAAATCAAACACAGGACATGCAAGTTTGACAACAACGTTAGATGTCACAGTTAGCATTATGATAAAAGTTGTTTAACAGTGATAGAATTTAGTTTTAAAGCTTTTAAAATTAAACTACACTGTTAACTTTTTCTAAAGTGATCATACTAATGGAAAATATTCCACCTAGATAAGCCTATTTCTAACAATTTTCCTGCCCTATCAGCAATTTTCCAAATCTATAACAAGTAGGGCTCCTATGACCCCAAGGATAATTGTCATAATAATATGACACCAGGTCATTTGAGGGTGTTACGAAGTTCACGACATGACTCAGCCCCGTTCCTCCCCCATTCGGCTTCACAACTACCCTACATTGGTTATCGTAGCATAATACTACCTTAGGAGTGCTCAAGAAGTTTGTGAAAAATCAAAGACTTGTGTCGAATAGTACATATTGTACGACTTTGAAATGACCCGAATGTCATATACTAATACTTTGATACCCATGAATGATGTAAAAAAACTATCACATCTATAAGCACTCCAAAATTTTCCTAAATCAAATTACAAAACCTCACAAAACATAAAAGAAAGAGCCAACCATGTGAGGTTAGGTAGAATAGCCACCCAAGTGTGGCTGTCATTGGGCACAAAATGACATGTGTGGCCAGGTTTTAATCTTAACAAGTTTGTCTTGGTATATAATTATCATATCCTCCACCATAAACCATAATAAACAACAAATGCCAACACTGGGAGATTTGATCACTTAAATGCCAAATTAAATTCCTTTCCAATGAGTCTCTCACTTCTCAGTTTTCATGTACTCCACATTAATTTAAAGTCTCTCTTTTTATTTCACACTTTTCAATGGTAAAATCTCTGTTTTCATTTTGATTCACTACTCGTAATTTGTAGCATCTCTCTCTCTTTTCGTTTCATGCTTTTCGATGAAGGCTCCCTCTCACTCTGTTATTAATTAAAAACTTCTCTATTTTCATTTCACGACTTTGAATGGTAAAACTTCTCTTTTTATTTTACGCAACATCTCTTTCCATTTCACACTTTTTAATGTTGAAACTTCTCTTTTCATTTGGATTTATTAATTTATAGCCTCTCTCTCTTTTCATTTCAATTCATTAATTTAAGCATCTTTTCAATAGCGGTAACATAATTATATTATTTTATCAAATAATTAACAAAAAAGAAAAGAAAGTAAATGATATTTGACCATGAGTAAACAAACAATGTAATTTGGGACGAGAGGAAAACTCACTAGTGACAGGGAATACGGAAACAGAAGGGAGATATTGCATTAAGGTTACACCGGTAAATTCAACTCATTACCCCTGGCTTCAAATTGCCAAAAACACAATCTTCACACCAAACATACACAGAATGACAGAAACCACTGCAATAAATCATTCACTCATTCATTCAATTGTGAAATTGACAGGTAAATGCTTCATCTCAAAGAAGGAGAGAACCAGAAACACAAGTCTTAAGAAACACCCACCCCTACAAAGGAACATATCATCCTTTGGGACCCTACAAATGTTCATGAACCCAACAACCATATCATACAAATCCACCAAAGTATTCAACACCAATCAAATGATGGGATGATCATAAAAAAACAGATTAGTTGTAGTACAGAATAACATAGGTTTTAAAAAAAAAGCTAACCAAATTAGGACCCTAACGACTTTTATGATGGTTTTATTTTCTCCTTCCCCATTTGTACTGTCAATGATAAGGGTAGGGATCTACCTCTATCTTCGTCTGCCGCCACGGCCGTTTAGCTCCCTCAATCTCCGCCTCCTCCCCGAACGTCCCAAAAGGACTCTCCCATGGCGGCGAAGCCGCCCGGCCAATGATGTGCTGCGATCATCTTCATCTTCATCACTCTCTTGCTCTGAATAATCAAAACCAACTGTCAGGTTGTGGTCAGTTCCGGACCCTTCATCTGAACCTCTATTTGATCCAACAATGGTCCCACCAGCCGAACCTATTGCCTGCAAAAGGCGAAACACGTTAATCAAATTCCCTCCCATCCCACCACGGCCCACCACGTTGAACCCATCATCCCTGTCATCATCATCATCTTCTTCTTCTTCTGAACCATAGCCAAATGGGCTTCCTTCTATGACATAATCGCCGAAAACGACAGCCCCGGGCATGGAAGACCTTATTGTGCTCATGACATCTTCGCGTTCCCGCTCAACCTCGAGCCGCCTCCACTTCTGTTCAAGAACTGGGTCCTTCTCGCGGGGCCTAGCAGAAGGGTGCTCCACCTTAACATGCTTTTTCATGTCCTTATAGTTCCCCACAAACGGACAGTTGTCCTGCATGCAATTCCGCTTTTTGGCATTCAAGTGTTTACGGGCTGCTTCAACCACAGTCCATCCTTTTACCTGCCCGCGGCAAAGCGGGCAGGCAAGTTCAGTTATCTCACACTTCTCCTCAACCCAATCCGGGCAGAGGAGGGGGCGCGGGACACCACCCGTTGAACTTGGAATGTATTGGTTCTGTTGGTTTGACGAATTGACTTTTGTGTTTGCTTTTTTGTACTGGTCCAGGCAGTTTGAATAACGGTAGCTGGTGCCACACATGTAGGGACGGCAGCCCTTGTCATGAGAAGAACAGAGGAGGAGGACCGCATTGTGGGGACATTCGATGCACACCGAACATGTAGCATCTTCCCAGTCTTTCTTACACTTATTGGAGCATTTCTTTTGGTTCACCGACGGCAAAGGGTATGGAGTGTGCCTGCTCTGCCGTGAGGTCATCCTACGCCTTCCTCTTGTTACCTTTGCCATTTGTTAAACTATAAATCTGTGAAGACCAAAAACAATTAAAATAAAATTTAAGCCTGATACTTCCTCTGTTCTCAAACAAATGAAACATCAATATCTTCAATTATGTTGTGGTAAAAAAAATTATAAAATGTTGATTTACAAAAATATAGATCAAAATGAAATGAACAAGACCACACATGAGTGTATTTTGCTTTATGTATAAACCACAATATAATCAAATTTGAGTGAATATAGTGTAAAATGCTCTATCTAAGAACAGGGGAAGTATATCTTAAGAATAACCCACTAAAAACAGTCATCTATCAGGTGGTAAGATGTATTCATTTCACAGTATTAATCTCTCCATTAAAAAAATGTCATGTTCCATACATGTCTTATCCCCAAAATAAGAGTCATAAGTTATTTAGAGATAATTTATGACAATTGTACCTTGCCAAAAACTAAAATTTGTGCATCGATAATAATAAAAAAAACTCTTTTGAAACTGAGGTACTTTTCTTAAACATATTTCAGACGATTGCTGCGTAGAGTTTATGAAAACCAAGATATCAGTTCACATTTATCTCTGACAATACCAATCACAACATAAGCAGCACTTGCCTCAATGAAAAAGATACCAAGCACTTTAAGGCCATGAAAAGTGGGAAATTTCAACAAGAATTTTAAAATAAAATATGTACGAGAATGAATTTAAAACCATCATTTGTGATAGAAAGAGATCTGAAAAAAACCACTTGATCAATGCCGTGAATGCACTAAATACTCTTATTTAATATCAGATTTTTCAGAGGGTATGATGTAATGGCTTATGCTTAATGAATTCCTTAAACAAAACCAAATGATGACTATCTCTAAGCTCAAAAGGGACAATTTCAGAATTCAAATATGCAAAACTGCCGTGTTCCCATCATCAAGACTACATACAACTATACATATAACTTGAGTGCAAGAAATCAAGTCACATCTAACAAAAGAATTTGTCAGTAAAAAACACAACCAGTTGCACAATATTTTGTTTCCAAACATAAATGTTCAACAGCAAATATATATATATATATATATATATAGGATATATCACCATATTGAACAGAGTAACATAAAAGGCATAGTTTCACTATATCACAGAAATGCCCACAGGAACTATTGTATTAAAGGAACTCTCAGAGAAAATGTCAGATGACTCATATTTGATCTCCAAAATTTCAAGATCTATTAAAATGTCTAAAATCAAAAGTCAATGCTTTCATAAATTCAATTAAAAATCAAGGCTTCATAACTAAGAACACCTTTCAGAGCAAGCTACAACCTTAACTTCAGTAATGGTTTCATAATGCACCAAATTATCAAGGTCACCCAAATAACTCCAAATTTATCAACAACAAAAAAATGATAGGAAGAAAAAACAAAGCACACCGACAAACATCCCAGTTTCATAAAAACCTAGATCTCTGGCATAAAAAAAACCCACTTGCCTACATCCTACAACAAAATCAAACATTCAATTCAACATTGAAAGCAAAGGGGTCAAATTTTGAGATACAAACATAAAATCGGTGGTGGAGATTCACAAAAACGAAACAAATCCAAACACGTAATCGGCGGACTAAGCCCAAACCCGGATTCGCATTTCGTAACTAATACGATCTCAATCGACAAAAGCCAAATACCCACAGATCAGGAATCGGGAAACAGATGAAACGGAGTAACCGTACCGGAGATTTGCTGGAAGATTGGACGAACAGAATCTTAATAAAAGAGAGTAATTCGAGGGGAAGATGGCGGATTAGGGATTGCGATTTGTTCAGATGGAAATGATTTGCAGGAAAATGGAGTTTTCCTGAACGCTTAGAGAGAGAAAATTGCAAGAAGCAATTGGGATTCGATTGAGAGAGATGCGCACATTTTGATGGGAATCGGAATCATGGAGTCATCCTTACGCTATATGCCACTCCTCGGGGCTTTAGCATTTTTGTGTTGCTTCATTTTCTTCCATTCATTTTCATTTAAATTTTGTAATGTCTCGCTGAAATTATTTTTAACATAAATTATTTAGAATTTAAAATAAATAAAAAATAAAATATTTATATACTAAAAACTACAACAAAAAAATCTATAAAACAATAAGTGATTTAATTATATTGTTTTATCAAATAAATAAAGAAAATAGGAAAAGAAAGTAAATCAACTTTGATAGATAGTAAGCAGACAACTTAATTTAGGATGAAGAGTACAATTTTGAAGATAATATTTCTGTCCCAAATTAAATTCTAATCGACTAATAAAAAAATCAAATGGAAAAAGAATTCATTGATTGATACTCGCTTCGTCCCAAAATATTTTCCATGTCACGTAAAACGAAGTTATTTATCAATTTATTTTATTTATAGATTAATATAAAAATTAGATATAACATTTACAATTTTAAAGACTACGTCAAAAATTTAAACTCTTAGATTTTTAAATACTGAATCGTGGCATTCTTTTAGGAATCGATAGAGTAAAAATTTATAAAAAATTCTTATGTGTATCAATTGTCTCACAAGAAATGTGACACACAAAAAATTCTTCTGTGAATCAATTGTCTCACAAGAAATTCTTATGAATCGTGGGCATCAATTGTCTCACAAGAAATGTTATGTGTGCCAAGTCAGACTCAAATGCATTGGGAATTGTGTGTATTGAATGCATTATATAATTAAATGGCTAGAATATACACTTTTTCTAATACAAATTAATTTTAAAAGAGCTTGTAGCATCAGGGATCTTACCAAGTGCTATTAGAGTGAAAGTCACAAGTTTGATTCCCAGGTAGAGAAATTACTGAATAGAAAAATTATTAGTTACATATGTATCAATTATCTCATGACTAAAGATATTTGAACCAAGTTAGACCCAAATGCCATGAACACTTGTTTGTTTTGAGTCATTATAAGACACCACGAACAATATGTGAGTCATTATAGACCTAAATATTCTTTTCAAAGATTCATCTCAACAATTTAGAAACGACTAATATATGCGTCTCACAAACACGTCAAATCACTAAGGTAGTTTTGGTAACCAACCCTTGCTAAAAATATTCAAAAGCAATGGCAATCTACAATTAACATGAGACTTTTTATTCGACGCTTGACCCTTTCAACATTGATCTTACAATAGCTATTCTCAATTGCTCATGAAGATTTTGCAATGACCATCTTTGATCGCTTAAACCATGAATTGTGCAACAACTACCTCCCACCGCTTGTGAAAATGTCCATAGCATATCTTTGAACACTTTGAATGATAATTTTACAAGACTTATCCTCAATCCTTTACAATGTATGAAGAAAAAACATGAATCAATCTACAACCACATAAAAGCCATACATGACATAAGCCAATGGTGTACAATTTTTTTTTGTACACTTCAAAATTACAACCCTTTCATAAAAATGTAAGGGTATAACTCTCCGTATATGAGAACAAGTGCCAATGATAAAGGCATATATGTAAGAATAACACTCAAAGATCAACGAGACATATTTTCTACAAACATTGACTTCCACCATGGCTTTATTGAAACTTCGAGATTATCACATCCATTTGCAATTTTTTCATACTCCGATTAGTTTGATATCACCATTGATTCTTTGAACATTTCATGTCTCTAGGAATCCACAACGGTAGCACCCATTGAGGACAACCAGCAGTGGAACCGCGGTGTGTTTTTAGCCATTTTCATCAATGCGATATATATTCAGCCGTTTATTATCAATTGTTTATGTGCAGAACGAGTCTCAGAGAAAATACACTTCATATCGTAGCCAAATTGTGCATTTTAATCTGATCGAAAAATGTTCTTCCTATCTTAATAATAGACCCTTGATTAGAAGACCCGCGAGGTTTTAAGAAAAGAAAAAAAAGTATTGAAGAGTCTAATAGCTGAAACAAATTGTATATCACTCCGGGTTTATTAAAATAGGTGAAATTTTTATGACATATTTAAAAGTAAACAAAAAATCTTTCTTCGAAACGAAAAGAGTCTAATAGAAACACGTGGGAGGGACTGACGAAGATAAAAGCACATAACTGATCCATGAAAACAATAAAAATGGACTATGCCCTTGCAATTACTTTTCCCATGTGGGAGTTAAAAGGTTCATACTTCCTTCCAAGGGAGTTCTAATTTTTTAATTGGACTTGAATGGGAGAGAAATCTAATATACTAAAACTAGGACTTATTATCCAAGAAATAGTAATAAGAAATAAGCAAATAAAATTTGTTTTGTGAGTACTATACTAAGACTTCAATGAGAAAAAATATTTAACATATTCAACCATAGCTACGCATCATTGATTTATAATGAGAAAGAGACATGTATGAAACTATCATAGAGAAGGAACAGAGATGAAACATTCCTCCCCTTCGAATTGATTCAACAAAGCCAAAAGCTCACTCTATATATGCCTCAACCCTAAACCAGATATAGTATTCATAACTTTATCCAGATACACAAGAGGCAATGAAAGACACTAGTGAACCCTAGAGAGGGTGAGGGTACCCTTGACTCCCAAGTCCCACCCTATCATGAAAAAAAGAGCAACTAAGAGAGTTATGTATCAATAATAATGACTAAGAGTTGTGTATGAAACCGTGATGGAGAAGGAACAAAGTTGAAACATTCCTTCCCTTCAAAAGCTCAGTCAATATTTGCCTCAACCCTAAACCGGAACAAGTATTGACCACTCTATCCAGTTACACAAGAGGCAGTAACAGATGTCGAACAAAAAAACAAAATGTACAAAATCCCAGAGACCAGAGAGAGGAAGAAAGATGTAATAAACAATCGGAGGCTTGTATCTATAACGAATCAAGGAACAAATCCGACATAATGGTGCACTACACAAAAACCTACCCAACCACGCAGAAGCTATATCCTACCCAAGGACAGATTATTTTAAACAACATTAGAATGTCAAGGGCAAGGGAATGGAGATCAACACAAATGAAGATCTAAGGATATATATTTAAACAAAAATGTATCTCTCACTTGATTAAAGACATAGTTTGGATGCAAAAGAGTACAACAAACCAACAAGAAAATTCCATGTCTTTTGAAAAAGAAGCAATAATAATGAAGGGAAAAGCAGTGCATAAAGCATACTTAAGCCTTGACACGGCGATAGAATTTCTGTTTCTCGTCTGTAGACTGGAAGCGACCATGGCCAAATTTTGAGGAAGTGTCAATAAATTTGAGCTTAATCTCCTCCATGGCACTCCTGGTGGTCTGCTTGAGAAGTGACTGACGAAGGGTGATTACTCTCTTCTTCGTTCCAACAACCCCACCCTTGATCATTAGGTAGTCCTCCTTCACTATACCATAATGAGGAAACCCACCCATAGGAGTAATGTCTTTCTCGGTCCTGATCATTAAAAAATACATTGTTAGAACATAAATTTAAAAAGTGATAATGCATTGTGTATACATATAATAATCAGGAACATCATCTCCTGTTCACAAAAACTGTGTTACAACAGAGACAAAGGTTATGAACAGGATACCACTTTGGAAAGGACAGATGTTGTAATCAATACCTGTCATATTCAGTTGAAGCAGTGTGAGACTCTTGTCCAGCTTTGCCAAGCTTATAGACCTTCTTATTCAATTCTGTTCTGTGGTGATACCCGTTCTGACCAGCTCGGGCAACAGTGAAAGAAACACGGGCAGGATGCCAAGCTCCAATACATGCCACCTTACGAAGACCTCTATGGGTCTTACGAGGGAGACGAGTAACACCCCAACGTGTCACAACACCTTCAAATCCCTTTCCCTTAGTAACACCAATGAGATCAATCATTTCATCCTTCTGGAAAACAGCATCGACTGGCACTTGCTTCTCAAAGAAACTATAGGCATAGTCAACTTTTTGTGCAATAGTCCCACCATTCACCTGGATTTCCATAATGTGTGCCTTCTTTTGCTTCAATCCTTTCATCTTCCGAATCTGCATTGCATCCAAGGATATGCTTAAATTAGAGAAACTGATTGCTATAGGGAAAATTAGAAACAATGTTACTTGACAGATATTAAATGACTCAACACCATTAAAATTTTACAAGTAAAATTAAAAATGAACCCAGAAAATTGATAAGCCAATAAATGCTTTTGGCACTCTAGGATTCATTCTCTATTTATTAGAAAGAGCTTTTATTAACCTGGGTGTGTGCGAGCACACGGATTACAGAACAGTATTTCTTCAGCTTCTCCAACTGTGCTTGGATATCCTTCTTTCCCTCTTCAGTGTCATATTTCTTAGCATATGAAGTGAAAGCCTTCTTCTTGGATTTGCACCAATTCTTGTAAAACCTCCTTCTCAACTCCTCATTGAGATGTTGAGCCCAAACAGTGTTCAGGCAGCGAAGGCCACGTGGTGTTTTTGTGTACCCAACCACTCCAACAACTACCATTGGTGGTGTTTCAATGATAGTCACAGCCTCACAAGTCTCCTTCTTGTGAAGCTCTGCAGACAAAAAACAAAGTAAAGATCAATACCACACCATTAAATGATTGAAATCATGAGGAAAGAACTAAAGAGTTTGCAATTTTAAAAAGAACCACAAAAAACAATCGTTAGACATACTTGACCCTGGTTTCTCGACTTCTCTCACAATGTGAGTCATGCCGGCCTTGTAACCTAAGAAAGCAGTGAGCCTGCATGGTTTGGTTTGGTCGTCCCTGGGAAATGCCTTCACTGCATCACATTCAGAGGAAGGAAGATATTAACAACCTAAATTACGAGTTTTGAGCATATCCACACACTTATCCATCACAACAAACTCTTTACATCCAGAAACATCAAAGCCTATCAACAAATAGAAGCTACCCTAGAATTACATTACACATTGTCTACAGGAGAAGGGATTTATTTATCATAGGAAGCTACAACAAATTACCCTGATTGAACATCAAATTAGAGAAAATCAAAGCATAGCCGACAATATCATGATTAACATTTAAGACCACAATCAATTGAGGAATGAAAAACATGCATTTCCTGTGTCCAGATGCACATCACATATGCTACTACAAATTCCTGGCTACAGATTAAGGCATTTCAACAAAGCAAATTACACATAACAATCATGGCTACCCCAACTAACTAAAAAACATTGATTTCCAAGCAGATCAACGTTCCAGAGACAATTTAACGAATCGCATTTTACATACACGAAATTGAAATATCCTTATTGATTTCATAAGCAAAACAATAAAAGAGACCTGTAACCTTATATTTAAGCACATAAACAAATCCATATAAAAAGACATACCCTTCCCCCTGTGTCGGGCAGCACGCTTCCTGGGAAGAAATCCAAGGGAACCATGCCTTGGGTGCTCAAACTTCCTGTGAGACATCCTTCACCTCCTGCTGCAAAACATACAACCCAAACACAAAACAAAAAACAATCCATTAGCTCCAAATCTCAACACTATAAACACCGAAATCGATCAAACTAAGAAAAAATCGGCCTGGGGAAGAAAGATTGAAGAACAAAATGAGATTCGAATCATAGATGAATTCTCAATATGAATCACGCGAAGAACGAACAATGGGAAAATGGGAGAGCGTACCTAGGGTAGACGGCCACCTACTGGGGAGATATGAGCCTCGGCACTCACTCAGCGAAGAACCCTACTGGAAACCATGAATATATATATAAACCCGAACAGGCGATGTAACATGGGCCAAATGGGAGTTAATCGTATTTGTCTGGGCTTTTGATATTTAACGGGCCGGTAGAATAAAATATCTAAGGCCGAAAGGAATTGAGGCACGGTTGATAAATGTTTGCTACTTTAGGCCGTTTAGGACATGTTTCCGGCATTTATTTACCATTTCGTTTAATTTTTTTTATTACTTATTTTTATTAGAATTAGATCACATTAAAAATAATTTTGATTGTAATTGCAATTACTCCCTCCGTCCTAAAATTAAATTCCCAGTTTGACTTTTGTAGTCAAATTTTTTAAACTTTGACCGTGTATAACGGAAAAAATACATTAAATTTTCATATAAATTTATTAGCAATAGATTCATTTTGAAACATAGTTTTGAAATATATAATTTTTATAAAATATATTTATATAAAAATTGAGATATTGATGGTCAAAGTGTCGCATTGAAGACCGTGAAAAGTCAAATGAGAAATTAATTTTAGGACGGAGGGAGTATATGAGACTAGCTCATCTCTGACCAAATCAGATCAGTCAAACGCAACGCATCCTTAAAATGGTGCGCTGCACAAAGCCCGAGGGGTCGCTGTGCCGCACTCCCATTGCGGGAGTAGAGCTGTGTTTTCCGCTGCCGCGCGCGCCCCTGTTCCAGCGGAGAGCCGAGTTCCATTTCCGGCCCAAAATCATGGTGGTTTTCCATTGTGATGGTTCGCCGCGCCAGTCGACCCCTTCCCCTTTTATTTATTTTTTTTCATTACTACATTCAATGAATTCAACACATCTTTAGGATGAGAGAGGTATGAACAGATACTACGTTGTAACTAAAACCTAAGGAAAGTCACACATAAAAGGTAGATGAAGAAGTCTCCATTCCATTAAACCAAACTAAACTTCAAGTTTACCCAAGTTCTCCATTCCATTAAATCATACTTTGGTCATCCTTCCACTCTAATTTCACCAATCGTTTAACTAAATTGACTTTTGTTACGAGGTGTTTTGTTTTGAATCATGGACTCAAACTTTGTACATAATTCATAAGCATTCGTGTAAGTATAAACGTGATAAAAAAGAGTCTTATCATTGTACTTTAGGAATCATTGCAACGGCCTTGTAATTTACTAGCTCTCATTGAGCATCACTCTTGCTTTCAACATTTTCTTAGTAGATGATGGGTTCATGTAGATCCTTGCAGTATAGATGGTCTAGCTTCCATTATTTGTTTCTAAAATGAGTTGTGGTTGGCCATGAGTTTGAACATGTTACATGTCTCCATCATAAGTGACTTTGTCCTCCATCTTGACCTACACGAGCTAATGGTGGTTTGAATGAGCCTGACTCTAATATCACTATTGGGGAGCGATAAATCTTTTCCGCGTCATGGAGTTAAGATATGTGCTTAGGGATGAATGTAGTAGTGAGAACACATGAATTTATAATTCTCTAAATGGGGATTCTTTCTTGTATAAAAAAGTAGTACAAGTACAAGAATATGTTTACAAAATTGACTTGCACTACGATGGTTCACTAAACCTTCGAGGTTAGGGCTATCTAAAGCTTGGGGATTTACATTCCCACTCTCTAAACTCACCCTACTAGTGGGTTTCTTCTCTTCACTTTTTGGTTGTTAGAAATGAAAGCTATGGTCTTTCTCTATTTATACTCTTCCTTCGTGGATAGATTAGGATTCCAAAGTCATCCACATCTCTAGAAGTTCATAATCTCTATACACTTTCATCTTTTTCGATAACATTCTACAATATTCTAGAAGGTTCTACACTTTTCTAAAATATTTTATAGGTAGGGTTCGAAACTTTTCTAAGTTTGTAGAGAATCGTACACTTCTCTAAAGCTTTTCAAATTATTCTGAAAAATGATACGCTTCTCTAGAGAATTATAGACTTTTCTAGAATTTATCCAATTAAGGTAGGAACCCAACATATATGTTATATGTTAAGAAATGTCTCGTTAGGACTTAGGGGACTACATACATACAATTAATAGACAAGTTTGTAGTAACACTTAAGGGGGATATAATTCGTGACAATATGTGAAATTACTGAAACCTATCGCACACTACATTTATTATAACTATATAGTATCAAAATAGGATGAACTCCAAAACTAAGTACCTACATGATGGTGCTCGAGCACATACTATATAGTTCAATATTGAAAAGTTCAATGACATCCATCAGAGCACATGCAAGAATAGCACAACATTTGTTAGATGTTAAGAGATTTCGAGGACTACATTCGCGCAATAAGAGACAAGTGACATTATTGGAACTTATCACACATCGTGCTTATTATAACAATATTATAGTATTTATATAAGATGAATTTTAAAATCATTAAGTACCATTTAAATTTGAAACAGAACAACACAATATCTTATCATACTAAAACCGAACAAAAAAAAATAAACACCAGTAAGCCAAATAATATTAAAACAAAGCACATTTTGTGTATAAAAAGGCACAATTTTATTTAAAAAAGAGTAAGCATTCAAATTTATAAGGATCATAAATGAAATAAATAAAAGATAACAAGTCAAAAAATCAAAACATTATTTTTTTTAAATTCATGCAATACTTGATTACTAATAACTCCATAATAGTAATAGTAATAATAACAATAAATATAACAACTATAGTGAATGAATATTAAAAGAGTAAATTCAGTTGGCCTGGGCCATTGCGCCTCTATAATTTCTTTACCTACATGAATTTATTGGCCTATATACGGAGCAATCTCCATGCCTCGTGGAGGATTATATAATCTCTAAAGTCTAAACGAACAGTGTAAAAGCCCAAAAACCAGAATATTAAGGCCCAAATAACAATACCGACTTCCGAGATAACCTCGCCACGCAGCGACAGTCGATCGAGACGAGCATCGGAAAAGAAGATTTCGCCGGAGCGGAGTTCCCCGCCATGGATTTTTCTCGGCTCGCCGACGCCATGGCCGCCAAATCGTACGATAAGATCGCCTCAATATGTGAAGATCTCATGATGACGGTAATTTCTCGGGAACCCGCCGATATCTCCCTCTACTCACTGTCACTTCGCCGTGTTTTTTTTGTTTCTTCATCAAATCGGAAACCTAATTTTTGCTCATTTGTTTCTTAATCCAGTCTGCTGCAAAGGGAGTTGCGTTCCATGAAGAATGGCCATACGCGGTTCATCTCTTAGGGCACCTTTACAACAACGAGATGTAATCGTAGTATTCTTTCAGATATTCAGTGTTTTATGCACTTCGATCTTCATATGATTTCGTTTTGATTTTCCTGTGTGCATTTCCTTTTGTTTGTTTCAGCTCTAGTGCGCGTTTTTTGTGGAAGACTATACCAGTGGGGATAAAGGAGAGCCGGCCGGAGTTGGTGGCTGCTTGGAAGGTTGGGCAGAAGCTATGGACTAGGGACTATGCTGGAGTTCACGAGGCCTTACGTGGGTACGACTGGAGCCCGGAGGTCAGGGAGATTGTGGACTCCTTCGCAGGCAAGCTTGCTTAATCCCTAATTCCTGAATATTTATGTTATTGGGGTCTGGGTATTTGAACACACATGTACAATTGAGAGAATGATATAATCTTGTAGAATATATGGGGTTGAAGAATAACTTGGTTTAAATAATGCATATTACCACAATACTTATGAAGAAAGATTCATATAAATTTTCTCTTTGAACTGTGAAAGATTAATTTGTTTTATTGTTTACAAGCTATCCATATTAGCTTCAAGTCCTAACCTAATGTACCGAGTATATGAATTTGCAATTGGTGCGTGATCAATTGATATTATGCAATATGTTAGCTTTTCACTTTTCACCCATCGTCTACAATAAGGGTCATATTCTGCCTTCCTAATCTTTAGGAACACTCATACTTTCGTCATGATCAATAAATTGATGGTTCAATTAACGATGCTTAGCTACCCAAGTCACCATTTCCATTTTTTTGCAGACCGTTACACGAAAAAGATCTTTGATCTGCTAGTTTCTGCTTATTCAACCATAAGTGTTCAAGATACCGCTCTCTTCCTTGGAATGAACGTTGAAGATGCTACAAAGTGTAAGTTTTTCCTGTTGTTAGACGAGCACACCTTGTTCTCTCATGATTGTGTTTATATCTTTTTCTTACGTTTCTTTTCTATTTGCATGGTGATTTCGTTTGTTTGGTTTGATATACTCCACAATCCCCATTTGGTCTGCAAAATGATTCATTACTGTATATCTTTATTTGACTTTCACTAATCCTCGAGGTCGATTTGAAACTGGGAAAATGCCACAGAGATAGAAGTATAGAACACGAGAAGGAAAATGTGGGCAAATTTGGAAGCAAACAAAACTGGGGGAAATAAAATCTGGCTTGGACTTATTCCATTTACATATTTATTTCTACAAAGACTAGAAATCCAAATGAGCACAATGCATTAAAAAGTTCTAATCAAATTTGCCTTGCCTTCATATTTTTCAGGGTAAAACCAATCATAAAAACACTACCTTTCATTGGCATCTATTTCCCCCCCTAAATCCTTCTATTCTCCGGGCTTTAGACATAGCCCTTACGTTTAGAGGAATGCATATTTTGAAAAGACAGAGAGTAGTGTATGAGCATATTAGATTCTTTTGTAACCTAATTCTGGGTTTCTTTTTTTACCATAATTGTTAGCTAAATAGCTTCTGTTCCTCCAAGTAAACATGCCGTAACTGTTTTTTGATCCTTGTTTGCCCAGATGTATTAGAACAGGGTTGGAGTTTGGATGTGGCGTCTCAAATGCTGACAGTGAAAATGCAAGTGATAGCGAAAGTGCAAAACTTAGACGACAGCACATTGCAGCGGTTGACAGAATACGTTTTCCACCTCGAGCACTAATCAAACTATTCTCACTTCTTTCTGTGTCTTGTTTCTCCTAGTAAACTTCTGCTCACTGTTTATTAGTACTACCATTGAAGCTAACGATAAGCTGAGTAGAAGATTTTTGATGGTTCAAACTTTCTTGATGTTTATGTTAATGGGTCTCATCAATCTGTCCAAAGAGTATAAATTGCCCCCCCCCCCCTTTTTTTAAAAAATCAATCTAATACTATGTCTCCCTCTATTACGTGGCAAAATCTCATGTTTTTTAAAATTATTTTATTTAAAATTAGTACCCCTAATATAAGATTATAAAGTAAAGCTTATATACTAAAAAATTGGCCAAATAGCGCTGATACCCCTCGTGGTTTGCAAAATAAGCACCAATACCCCATCTGTTTTCAAAACTCATTTCTAAAGTCCCTGTGGTTTCAAAATGTTGCACCTGTGCCCCTTCTGATCATTTTCCGGCCATTTTTCCGGCGAAGAAGGGGGGCATTGGTACATAATTTTTAAACCATAGGGAGTATCAGTGTTGATTTTTATTTCTCGCATATTTTTTTTCCATTTTTTCCTTTTTTTGTTTCATTTATTAATAAAGGTTTTTTTAAAAAAATTATTTCTCAAATTAACAATTTTTTTTCTGAAAAAAAAGTAATTTTTTTAAGAACTTCAAAAACATGAGGAATATAATAAGAAACAAATTAATACAAAAATAAAAATGAATATCCTTTTTGGACATCTTAATTCTATGGACTTTTTTAGGCGTGTCCAGTTTTTTTGTATAAGACTTTTTTGTGTATTTTAATTTTTTTCATTTCGTTTTTCCATATTTTTTTTAATTCTTTGTTTTTTTGAACTTTCCAAAAAATTATTCTAAGTAACAAAGAGTGAAAATGTTTAATTTGAGATAGATGTAATATATGTTAATTTTTTTATTTTTATTTTCATTTCAAACACAGAATTTGAAATTTTTTGAAACATTATAAAAAATTGAAAATATATTTAAAAAAATCTAGGAAAAGGAAAAAGAGATAGAAAATATTTAAAAAAGGGGAAGAATAATAAACGAAAATAAGAAATGAGCACGAATGCCCCCTATGGTTTAAAAATTATGCGCCAATGCCCCCTTTTCTCCGGAAAATGACTGGAAAATGATCAGAGAGGTTGTGGGTGCAACGTTTTGAAACCACGGGGACTTTAGAAATAAATTTTGAAAACAGATGGGATATTGGTGCCAATTTTCCAAACCACAGGGGGTACCGGAGCTATTTGGCCCTAAAAAATTTTGTCAATAGTTTTACACAACAAGAGGTAACAAAAATATTTTATTTTATCAAACAATCACTAAAAACATACAAATAAATAAAAGTTTTTGAAGAGTTAGTAAAAAAAGTTTGTAAAAATGGAACCTTAGATGCTTTCAAAACAGCTAAATTTGGTTCTTGTGATTGATTTAGATATGAGAGAGATAATACTCCGTAATGTTCTTGTGAATCTTTCATTACAGAAAATGGAATCATATATTTTTCATAAATGGAAAAAAGAACGAAATCTCTTAGGCTAATGGTCTTTATTTTATGACCATTAAAGAGTAGGTGGAGACAATTTGTTTATTATCCTCTTAATGACCATTAAAAAAAATACTCTAGATTTTTTTCATTTTATCTTTAATGGTTTTATGTTAATAAAGCTCATGTCTTTCACTTTTTAGTTTCTTTTTTCTTGATTATTTATCTTTTTCTTCACTTCATTTTCTTTTTTCATGAAGTTTTTTCGCTTTCTTTTGAAACTATTTTTCAAAAATTCAAAATTGTCTGTTTTAATAAAATAAATAAATGCAATTAAAATAACAACAGTAAGAATAAAATAAGAAAAATATGTTTTTTAACCGTCATTAACAAAATAGAGAACGAAATATTCCGTCTTAGTCTTTACAACAAAATGAAAGAGCCCCTAATGTCTTTTGTAAAATAGAGAGACCTTTGAATTATTTCAACAAGACTCACATCACTCGAAAGTAATTTTTTTGTACAAGTTCACTTCTTTTGTTCAAATATACTGCATCTTTTTTTGTGGACCAACATTTTCAAAACATGACTTTTTTTTGGAATATTTATATGAGTAGCATTTTAAGTTCACATAACCATTTTTTGTAGGAGAGGGGAGAGGTTGGGAAGGGAAGTTTTTGAGTTTCAAATTTTATAAAGGTGTTTCAAACCAAACAAGGGGGAATCAATTTCCATCCCCTCCAACCAAACACACCCTTATGCCAAGCCATTAACTTCTGCAACGGCATCCGTTCCGGAAACACATACGTCTTCCAAAAATGGAACTGTCTTCCAAACTTTCATCTTCATTGAGTCACTAACCTCACCTACCAGGTTGGAAATGATAATAATATATATAACCATACAACATTCGAATCTCATTATCCACAAAATTTGTATACAAGAGCTGTGCCTGACCTGTAGTTTTTGGACAATCTTTTTTGGTGCATATGGCAGCATAGTGAGAACCATCTAGCTCAATAAGGGCAAGCTGCCAATTACTTGGGATTTTCTGGCGATCGTCACGGTAATCATCCACTGTTATGTCAAATGCCTGTGTCGATATATATGGGCAGTGAGTGTGGGTGGGTGAGGTGGGGTGGGGGGGTGGGGGGGGGGGCAAAATTTTAACATTTGAAATTTGAATCGTAACTATATGTGTAGTATACATGATTGCAAGTTTGCTACACAAAGTAACGAAAGGAGAATGAAGCTTGCCACTTAGTTCTAACGAAAGGAGATTTCTTCATGTTTGGCACTCAACTTTTTCGGCTTGTCAGCCTATGGGCCAAATTTCATACCAAACACTCAACTTTTTTGGAGGGGTTGATGTGATATGAGTCCTCAAGTCTAGAATAAATGACGTGGGTTCTGAAGTCTAAAATGAAAGTGTTAGAAGATCTGAAATGATGATGGTTAGTTACGGACGTGGGGTGGTGGCCGATGGGGGGGGAGGTAGCCGGTGGGGTGGGAAGGGGTAAGGGCTACATCTCACATTCTCACCTCCCCCCCACCCCAAAGCCCAACCCCTACTGCGTAGTAGGGTATGTTTGGTTTGGTTTGATCAAATTCAGATACAATACAAAGGAATTCAGCCTATCCAACATTTTAAGCCAAAAATTACCTTATACTAAAAAGACTCTTTATGTGTACCTTGTAACCTGAATTCAAAGAGGGATGAGGGCTTCCTTTGGCAGAGTTTTCAAAGCGAACGGAAAATGTCTTGAAGGGAGCTCCAGAGAACCCTACACCTAGAGCTTTGACATATGCCTCCTGCAAGCAAATACGGAGTAGTACACTAGAAATGTATTAACTAAATTGAGGTTGCATTCGTTTTATTCTTTTGATCAAGCGCTCTAGGGAGAAAAATGTTTGTATGAAACAGTGGTGTGTGTGTGTATATACACACACACACACACACATTGTTTGTTTTATGTGCCTAATGACAAAAAAATTCATTTAAACATATAAAGAACTCAAAAGAGAAATTATAAAACAGAATCAAATACATTTCAGAAAGCATAAACACCGACAAGTGCCTGATCACAAGACTACTAAGCAATAGGCCAATAGCAACTATTAAGAGGAGAACAAGGAGTAAACAAACAGCACCTTACAAAAGTGCATAAGGTGCCAAGTCAATCACATAAAAAACTGACCTTCAGGGTCCATAATTTTATAAATTCCTGGTGCCGAAGTTGGGAATCAATGATAGAATTTAAAAATTCATATTCGTGCTGGGAGAAGTATCTTCTTGCTAAATTCAAAATGTTGTTTGTTACAGTCCTTTGCTTTTCTTCAACATCGATACCAATCTACAAAGGAAAGCGTCAGCCATCAGCTTTGCTGCTTTGCATTTCTCATACACAAAACAATTATTAAAACATGAATATTTTTTCAGACAAAGCATCTAGTAAGTAGTGTGTGTGTGTGTGTGTGTGAGAGAGAGAGAGAGAGAGAGAGATGGTCAGAATACTAACAGGAGAATCAGCAGTAACACCGCATGCGACAAGAGAATTGGTGTGTGAGATGTTAAAATGCAATGGAGGTGACTCCCAATGATCAATGTGTTGCCATTCTACCTATCACCATTGATTTTAGATAACTTCCCATATATTAATATGTGATAATAACCATGTCCAGCCATAAGTGGAAACTTATTCCGGTATGGAGGGAGTAAAAAAACCAACCTCTGGCTTCCCGTGGATGTTCTTTCTAAACTTCAAAGAACTCGGATCGACATGAGAATCTATCTGGTCTAAGCAAAACCAGTATGGGCAGTAAACAGTATTGCAACTCAATTACACTACACACAAATAAAGTCGAATGCCACACACACATAAAAAAAAGAACTCTTAATCTCAATACTTACATCTGGCTATGGTAGTTCTAACCAATGCCCGTGCAACCAGAGCAGTTTTCTTGTGCTCATCTCCACCCAAATGCAGCACTTTTTCCTTCTCAGTTGGTGAGAGAATTTCCATGTATTGTTTCAAAAGTGCCTCACTCTTCACTTCATTGGGTTTTACATACCAAAAATGTGCTTCTCTAAGATATTTATAAAACAAACCCCACACAACCCTCATCAAGAAAACTCAAAACCGAAACTATTTCATTGGAAAATTCATTTTTTTTCAGGGTAAAACAAAGACAACCAGAAATAAAATACAGTAAAATAAAATGGAAAGGGTGCAATTGAAGAGTACTTTGGAGATGGGAGTTTAATGGGAGTTAAATGGGATGAAGAAGTGAACATTTTCCGACGAAAGCTACACTGCATCCCCATTCCAAAATCCAGTCTAAACCCTTTCACGGGGACGAATTGAAACTTTGTTTCCCTTTCTCCTATCATCATCATAAAGAAAAAATTAAATTCAAATTGATGAAATTCTAGAGAAGAATACACAACAAGATTCCTCAGGGCCTGTTTGGTGAGCAGTATTGGAATGAAATGGGTATAACAACACCATTATTTCGAACTCATGTTTCAAACATAGCATAAAAGTTAGCTTGGATTTAAATTTGTTTTTTGAAATTTTAAAGACAAAATTAATAATTAACATAAAATTAAGTCAATTTTGCTAAAACGAAAATGGGTATAACAACACCATTAATTTAAGTGAAATTTATACTAAATATTAATAAAACATATATCATTTCTCAATGTAGGGAGCGTCTAAAATGACACCAGTTACTTATACACCAGTTGCTTACACCAGTTCGTTTGGGGTACCTACAGTGCTCCGTTTGTAAAAACGACGGTTCCTACCCCCCCTAACCCTCCCCCTAAACCCCCCACCCCAGCCCCACCCTTGCCCCCCCACCCCAGCCCCCCCTCCCGCCCCCCTCCCTACCCTGGCAGTACACTGCCAGGCAGTGTACTGCCAGGGTAGGGAGGGGGGCGGGAGGGGGGGCTGGGGTGGGGGGGCAAGGGTGGGGCTGGGGTGGGGGGTTTAGGGGGAGGGTTAGGGGGGGTAGGAACCGTCGTTTTTACAAACCACTCCCTTAGTACTATTTAGTGATTTTGCAACAAAGGCCCATAAAAGATGTTACTTTGTCTCTTTTCGTCCAATCAAAATAATTTTTTAAAAAGAAAAGAATTAGTGATTCACCAGTCTTCTCTTTCTTTTAAAGAAACTACTCGTATAACCATAAAGTTTTCAATTTTCACAATTATAGGATGAATTCTTAGCGTGTAAGCCCTTCCACTCTCTTAGATCATTCAAGCATCAAGGTTCAAGACAATGCTACAGAGTGCATTATTTGAAAAATACAACTTTAAGCCCAGAATTGACATCATGGTTGACACTACCAAAGAAAATCACACACAGACAATCATTGTCTATGAGAAAATATTCTATGTAAAAGACTGATAGTGTCAACCTTATCATCTGTGGTGTGAGTGAAGCATGACCCGGATTATTTTAAAGAGAAAAAATAAAGGGAAGAATGGTGCTGCATGGTTCCAGCATTTGCCCAGTCACAGAAAACACCAGGGCAAGTTGGGATGAGTGAAGTGACTAACTAAAAAATCCTTTCAACAACATTTGTAGGATCATTTGGCGTAGCAAGAATGTCGGAAACGAACTTGATCAATGAGCAAAGCCCCCCGAGGAAGTTATGATCGATGACCCCACCAGCGTCCGCCACGTGCGCGAAATCAATCATCTTGATGGTTGCGCCATGCGAGCTGTTTTCTTGTGACGCAAGTTCTTTCTCATACATCATGAGGATCGAGCAAGAATAGAAATGGTAGACAGTCTGATCCTCAAACCAAGCTTTCAGCTCGAGCAACTACGATAAAATCCCGTGGGGCCCACCATATACGGCTGACGCGAAGGAGCAATCGGATGAAGTGTTTGAAGATACAAACTTCCTTAGAACTAAGCCAGCCTCTGATGCAGAGAGGTTCTGAACCGATTTCCTTTCGGGCTTCCAAAACCCGGTTTCTTTGGGCACGTACATTTGCAACCCCGACAGCCTGAAACCTAAGCTGATGCTGGATGTCTCGCGGTCCTTTTTCAAGCATTTCTCAATGTACTCCGAGGATTCGTGTGGGGGCCACGTCCTCGACCCGATCTTGATGTCCATTATGGACGGATTGGATTTGGCCAGAGTGAGGTCTTCCAGAACTAGATGGGATAGTAGGCCGGAACCATCTGATGCCTCGAGGACCTGAGTTCCATGGAACTTGGGGAAGAACCGCCGAATATGGGGCGGGATCTTAGGGTTTGAATAGAACGATGTGTAGAACGCAACCTCGTGGGACCCACGATCGCCACCCTGCAAAGGCTTGTAGAAGAGGCCAGAATCGTCTACGAGGGGTCCCAGCTTCCCGCCGTGCGCTTGATGCCCTGCAACTTGATGTTCAGGGATCTTTAGCATGTCGGCAGAACTGCAGATGCTGAAAAAGCTTCAAAAAAAAATAGCCACATCAAACTCGGGATAGCATAAAGCAAACAAACAAACCCAGTAGAATCCACAAAAGTAGGATATTGATGCATGTTGAGAAGAGGATATTAAATGAGTGTTTCACATTACTTCAATGACTGTTAGCTATGCAATTTGTTTGTAAAGAGTGAACTTATGTTTTTTCTCTAAAATATCAAACTTTCTTTGAGTTTATGGTTATTTGCTTAATCACAAACAGTATAGTGTTTTAATTCCAAATATTAAATTATTAGTGTATTTGATATACTACAAACTTTAGAAGATCTAGTTTTAATTTTTGCATGGGCTGCTTTCATTTGTTCTTAGACTTCCAGTCTCAGTTAGATTAACTGCGAAATATGTTGTCGATACAAGTATGAAAAACAAAGACAATGAATAAACTATGCATCATAGATTTTTTTTAATGCAATGTTTGGTCAGCTGTAATGAAACTAGATGGAATCAATTCGTTGGAGATGTTTGCAGAACAAATAACAAATTGATGCCATTACATTGCAAAACATCTTACCAAACGTGGCCTAAGAAATTACTCACTTAGCTTAAGTTGAACGGGGCCAAACAAACCCTAAATCAACAAAGAACTTCAATTGATTGCAAGTGAAACCAATTCTGCCATTCCTACGGAAAATGAACATAGAAAAATTCCACCAGAAAATTTCAGATAAATGAGTAAAGGGCGGGAGAAAGCGTTAAACCTGTGCGAGAAGACAGAACCGCCGGTAAATTTCCCCTGGACAGACTGAAAACCCGGCGACGGAAGGTATGCACCGGTTGCGAGTGGCTGCTGCCTATAGTTTCATGTAGTGTGTCGGATCTGGCGGTGACTTCCTGGTGTGGCGACGGCTATGTCCCAGTCGCTGATCGTCTTTCGGCACTCCGGCGATCGGTGGTCGCGAGGGTGGCCAGACTTATATACACGGCAATGACGGAGAGCATCAAAGTATCCGGCGGGGACATGTATGCTAATTGATATGTATGCTAAGTGTGGCTCTTAAAATAGGATGTTGGATTCATCATTACGTGAAGATCCACAACCTCTCTCTTAATGTCTCTCTTGGAACTGCTCTAATTGATATGTATGCTAAGTGTGGCAATGTTGAGAAGGCGGTTCAGGTTTTCCATGAGATGCCCGTGAAAAATGCGTTGACTTGGACGGCTATGATTGGCGCTCTAGCACTTAATGGAGATGCACGCAATGCTTTATCCCATTTCAGGATGATGGTTGATGATGCCGGTCTTGCACCAGATGATGTCACATTTCTTGGGGTCTTGTTGGCGTGTCGCCATGGAGGTTTAGTCGCTGAGGGCCGTAAACTATTTGCTGAAATGACCTCTAGGTTTAAAATTCCCACGAAATCTAAACATTATTCTTGCATGGTTGACCTTCTTGGCAGGTCCGGCTTTCTAAATGAGGCAGAAGCACTAATTACAAGCATGCCAACTGATGCAAATGCCTCTGTTTGGGGAGCACTATTTTCTTCTTGCCAAACTCATAGAAACATTGAATTGGGTGAAAAGGCGGCTATGAAACTTCTTCAGTTGGATCCAGATGATAGTGGGATTATGTTCAACTTGCCAACATGTACATTGAAGCAAACATGTGGCATAAAGCTCGGGAAGTGAGGAAGATGATGAGTGAAAGAGGGTTAGAGAAAACTCCCGGCTGCAGTTCCATTGAAGTGAACGGTGACATTTTTGAATTTACTGTTAAAGATGGGCTGCACGTGCAGTCGGATAAAATTCGCGAATGTCTGATACAATTGGCAAGACAAATGGGACATCAAGATTGTGTAGCGAATATTCCTTTGCTTTAAATCCATAGGCAATATTCTCTTCAACTCAGGAAGTTGTTTTTGTTTTTTAACTGTCCAAAGTTCTTTTTTATTCTTTCTGAATACTTGCCATCTTGAAGATTTCATTATTCATTCTTCAGTTCTGAAATTGATTCCTTCTATATGGGAAAGTTTGGATTGAAGTCTAATGATGGAGTTGGAGATTGCATAGGAAGATTTGCTTTTTCCACATTGAGAAGTAAGTTTCCCTTCTTACTCATTCACTTAATTTTTTCCCACATTTGTTTATCAATGCTTTTGCCTTGTTTTCTTGTTTGAAAGGTAGATACTTTTCACCAATGCAAAATTCTACTGCATAATGGAGAATCTTGATGTTATATATATATATTTGTCTATGACTAAAACAGGTATATAAATGAAGACGACTCCACGAATTATATTTGAATACACAATGCGTGCTTGGAACCGGGCACCGTAGGAGGGATAAAACCAAGGAAAAAAAGAGCAAAAGACGATACACATATATGTAATATGTAAGTACGTACGAGGTGATCGTATATTGCCATCACATAAATAGAGAAGCATAGAGAAGGTGGTTCCAGGTATCAGGGAGTCCAGGAAGACACCAATGGCTGCAATCCACGTCTGAATGGCCACGCCCGCCGTACGTAGATGGGTGCGCGTCTTTTCTAAGCTGAGACAGAAAAGTGATGTCCAGGAGATGAACTGGTTTCTTGACCCGGATTAGGACTTTGTCAACAACTACGGTGGCTTCTGGTGTCCCCGCCGGATACTTTGATGCTCCCCGTCATTGCCGTGTATATAAGTCTGGCCACCCTCGCGACCACCGATCACCGGAGTGCCAAAAGACGATCAGCGACTGGGACATAGCCGTCGCCACACCAGGAAGTCACCGCCAGATCGGACACACTACATGAAATTATAGGCAGCAGCCACTCGCAACTGGTGCATACCTTCAGTCGCCGAGTTTTCAGTCTTCTCGCACAGGTTTGACGCTTTCTCCCGCTCTTTACTCATTTATCTGAAATTTTCTGGTGGAATTTTTCTATGTTCATTTTCTGTATGAATGGCAGAATTGGTTTCACTTGCAATCAATTGAAGTTCTTCGTTGATTTAGGGTTTGTTTGGCCCAGTTCAACTTAAGCTAAGTGAGTAATTTCTTAGGCCACGTTTGGTAAGATGTTTTGCAATGTAATGGCATCAATTTGTTATTTGTTCTGCAAACATCTCCAACGAATTGATTCCATCTAGTTTCATTATAGCTGACCAAACATTGCATTAAAAAAAATCTATGATGCATAATTTATTCATTGTCTCTGTTTTTCATACTTGTATCGACAGCATATTTCGCAGTTAATCTGACTGAGGAAGTCTAAGAACAAATGAAAGCAGCCCATGCAAGCTGATAAACAGCAAACCATGGTCACCTCGTCAGGCTTAATATTCATTGCTTGCATTTCTTGAAACAAAGCCAGAGCCTCTTTCCCACAATTGGCCTTCACATAGCCTCCAATCATCGCATTCCAAGTGACAACATTGCTCTTGTGTGGAAACTCATCAAACAACTTTCTAACATCCTGTAAAAATCCAAACATTGCATATCCAACAATCATAGTAGTCCAAGTGACATCAGTCCTTTCATTCATCCTACCAAACAGAGCCTTTGCTTTATCAATGTCCCCGCATTTCACATACATGTCCAAAAAAGAATTACAAAGACGCAAAGAAAAATTCATTTCCTTCACAACATATCTATGTAACTCCATCCCAAGTTCCAAACTTCTAAGCTGCCCACAAGCTAAAGCCATTCCTATCATAGTGATTTCATCATGCTCAATGCCCTCAAGTCTCATATCCCTAAAAACCCTTAGCGCCTCACAAGGTCTACCACTCTTTACATACCCATTAATCAATGAATTCCACAAAACAACATCTCTCACACAAATTTCACCAAAGACCTTCTCTGCAACTTTAAACTCCCCACAACACACCAAGAAGTGAACACAAGCATTATGCACAAGTCTATCCTCATAATGACCCATTTTTGTAACATGTGCAAGAATCTCAAAACCCATGTTGAGCAACAACATTCTACCACAAGCCTTGAACAAAAATGGAAAAGTGTAATTATCAGGCCTTAAAGCATCAACATCCATTTTGTTGGAGGCTAACATGTCTTTATACAAAGATATAACTTCAACTGGATTTTGACTTTCACTATAACCTCTGATTGCAACATTCCAAGAAAATGAATTTGAGCTTTGTGTATGATACAGCAACAATTTGCAGTAATCAAGGCTCCCAGATTCTGAGATAGCACAAAAGGCAACCAAACGACTAGATGCCAGTCTATTTGAAAACAGGACACTGGTGACCATTTGGGCATGAATTTGCTTAAGATGGTACATGCAGTTGCATCGATTCTCAAGAAAAGAGAGAAGTGGGTTTGAGAAGATGAAGGAACGGTTCGTGTTCTGAGTACGTTTGAGTTTAGGTTTATGGTGAGTTATTAAATTAGAGTAGTGGCTGAATAAAATAAAGGCAAAGGAAAAGAAGTTCTTAATAAAAGGCAAGGTTTTAGAGTACATGGAATCTTCATCACTTAACAGAAGGCAAGGTTTTAGAGTACATGGGATCTTCATCACTACTCAGTTTGAACCAATTTTCATTCCATCCCAAATTCCACAAATATAGCGTCAATTCACCTTTTCCTGACAGGGATCAAATCTAGCTGTAATTCCTAACAAGTTATATGGTTAGTTACGAACTTAAAAGGTAAGTATGTATCTCTGCTACTACTACATATTATATAATATGTGAATAATAAAACAATATGTATGTCCGTATAATACATTGGGATTTCATAGAATATGAATTACTTTATGTTTTAAACAGTTAGAATACAAATACAGGTATGTACGCCGTGCCAGTACGCATTTCAACAGTATGTTTGGTTCAAAGAATTTGAAAAGGAAAAGAAAAGAAAATGATATGGAAAATGATTTTTCTTGCTTGATTAGAGAGTAAAAGAAAAGAAAAGGGAAAGAAAAAGAAAAATGAGAGGACAAAATAAACTAATGAGAGGGAAAACAAATTTATTTCTATTTTGGTGAGGAAAAGGAGAGAGAACTTTTTCCTTTTCATTTCCTTCCGAATTCCTCGAACAAAACATAGCGTAAATGTTTCATTGTCATATTTTAGATACACACCCTCCCCATGCCCTACTTTTGTGGGATTTTACTGGTTTATATGTCAAATATACAGCTAATAATGTGTATATGTACGGCACTAAAGCAACAAGTAAATGTAAAATCTTCACTATGCATCAAAATACTTGAATCTTACACGATCCGAGTACAATTAATATTAAGAAAGCGATAAAGATTATATATACTCCCTCCGTCCCTAAATATTCACAACATTTGCTTTTTCAGCAGTCGCGAGAACTTTTGTTTATTTCGACGTTTTCATTGGTTATTTGATAAAATAAAATATTCTTGACACCTCTTATTTCGAAGAACTTTTCATGTAATTTTTTTATATGTAAATTTTATTTTTTATTTTTATACTAATATGTAAATAAAATGAATTGAAAAAACTTATATTTTGCCTCGGGAATACAAATGTGGCAAATAATTTGGGACGGAGGGAGTAAGAAATTATTATTCAGAGTAAAACTTTAGACGCACAGACACTTGACATTTCAAGGCACGACCACTGTCTGACCAAAAATTTCAATCAAATACATAAAACTTGCCTGCTGTTTCAGTGAAAAAATGAAATTGATTCGATAAAAAGTGTCCAGATTGGATTTGAAAACATTCTACCAAACTCTGTTTAGAAAAATTCTGCGGTAATGAAAAAAACGAGGGAGAAAAAGTGATCGAATTGGCATCAAATATGCTATCATGAATGCTCCAATTTGTAGGAGAGTGGAAAGATGGCTTCAAACAAAGGAAAATGAAGACTTACCCTTACTGTTATTGGCCGGCGGACGAGAGGGAGCTAATGTGTCGCCGGAAGGAACGTCGCTCGTAGAGTCGCCGCTGAAGGCCTAGGATTCCAGTTGGGGCATGATTCTTTATTTCGGATTCGGGTCATGACTCATGATTTGGTGACGGTGGTGTAAGGGGTTCCTGTTGTACCATTTATTTATTCTTATCCTGAATTCTTCTGTCTCAATTCTAAATGAAACAGCACCAGGATAATATAAAATATATTCCCTCCGTTCACAAATAAACTTTACGTTCATTATTCACAGGGTCAAACTTTATTCACTTTATTGGCCTATTTTCGTCACTCATTTGATAAAATAATATAGTCATGTCACCTATAGTTTTGTAAATCTTTTAATATAGTTTTTTAATATGTAATTTTTATTTATCAATTCTACACCATTTTTCATATAAAATGATTTGAAAATAACTTCAGTCAAACATCGTAACGCACAATGTAAAGTTTATTTGTGGACGAAGGGAGTATCATTCAGTACCATTTGTCCCGATGTACGCTCTAACAATATACAGTAGTTATATAAATACATAAAAACTAATAAACACATATATAGTTAATGTCTTGATATTTAATGTTTGACCCAAAATATATATCGAGTGCTCCCGACTAGGCTATCCTGTATTAGTATTTGGCCTAAATCTAGCATTATTAATTTGTTAGTTGTGTGATACATCCTTTTAATTGATTCTGTTATAATCTTTGCATATTGCCTTGTTATATAGGTTTGGAAATACAACCTATAGAAGAATTCGTGATCAAGTAAGACTGTTGGCTTATTGTATAGGTTGTTTTAAGACATTCTTATTTAAATACTCCATGTTATTTTCACTTTTCATAATTCTTTTGGAAGTCTAAAAATCAGTTTTCCTCTCTATCGTTTGGTATATTTTATCTTAAGCTTTGAATAAGGACAAAGTAGGAAACCTGAATCAGTTCCGTTTCGTCTTGGTTTTGAAAATTATGGGACATAGTGGGATGGACTTGTGGTCTGAACCGCTCCAAACCATTCAAATATAACAGGACAAGATGCGGGATAGTATGAAACCTGAACCGTGACATCCCATGCACACCCTAGTCTGGTGTATTTGGGTTTGATTTTAAATATTTAAATTTATGTTAATATTTTTATTTAAAATTAAAATTTAATAAAATACTTTATCATATTAACTAATTCTACAATACCCGGAGTAATAAGTTTTTAAAAATGTACTCCCTTCGTCCCTAAATATTCACAACATTTGCTTTTTCAGCAGTCGCGGGAACTTTTGTTTATTTCGACGTTTTCATTGGTTATTTGATAAAATAAAATATTCTTGACACCTCTTATTTCGAAGAACTTTTCATGTAATTTTTTTATATGTAAATTTTATTTTTTATTTTTATACTAATATGTAAATAAAATGAATTGAAAAACTTGATATTTTGCCTCGGGAATACAAATGTGACAAATAATTTGGGACAGAGGGAGTAACTAATTTGTAGATTTAGCATAATATTATTACATGGTATGTTTGTCTATAAGCAAGACAACATAGTTCGACAACAAACGATAAATTTATGTGTTTTTAAGTAGTCTATAGTTAATGAATTTACGTTTCGTAGATGAAAGTCAACTATCCTTATTTAAGGCCAGGAGGGAGTATCGGTCAATGACTTGTATTGAAATTATATTTATTTACTTCAGTTCATTGTAAATAATGCATCTAATATCGTTTCTAAAAGCTATTCCCATAATATATTGCTTGTGAACGCAAATTATATGGTACATCCAGCTGTACCTTCCTTTAGGTACACCCAGGTATTTTTGTAATATTTGCAAACTTTATGTCCCTTACTTAGGGTGTTTATTTCCTTTTCCGATCTCCTTTTCTCTCTCCCCTTTTTCTTCATCGTTCTTCTCTTCCCTTTCCTTCTGCAATTTTTGCTTTCTGCGCTGCGCTTTCTTCATCGTTCTTCTCTTCCGCTTCTTTTTCTTTCGTTGCTCTCTCCCATGGAACCAGATACTGATCTTCTTGGTAATTCTGAGCTTCGGTCCCTTCAATCTAAATCTCCAGGTGATAATTTTTTGGCATTAATTAACTAAATTTTGCAGTGTTCTTCATACTCGAATTTAGCAATCTTAATCTCCAGCAGAAACTTTTTCCCAATTCCAATTTTAATTCACATCTTTCATTTTTCAGATTTTAGTTTATATGAAGGCCAATTAATAGAAGCAATTGAGAGTTGTGGAGAAATTGTAAACTTCCCAACCCCAACCCCTTTTGGTAAATTTCCTAAATTTTGTATATCATTTTCTACTTTGTAAATGCATTCCCTCTGTTCATATGGATGAACTTTACTAAAAATGAGTACTAGTATACATGCCAATGTGTTATGACATATACTACAATGGAAATAATTAAATCTGTCCATATTCCCTCTGTTCTTATTTGATACTTTTTTAATTTTATAGCTGGATGTAATGTACCTGATTTCCAACATACGTCTCTGATGTTATCTAATGATGACTTGATAGATTCTACCATTCTTGTCCAAGAGGCAGAAACATCAGAATTAATTGGCAAAAAAGTAAATTCAGAGAAAGAGGCATTTGATTTTTATAATGAATATACATTTAGGATTGGTTTTGGTATTCGTTATTCAACTTTAAGGAAAGGTCAGAATGGTTTGAGTATCAGGGGAAGAGAGTTTTGTTGTAATAAAGAAGGTAAAAAAAAAAGATCAAAGGGGCTGTTGGGAAAAAATTCACCAAAGTTGATCGACGCACTGGTTGTCAAGCTAAAGTTTACTTTGAATTGAAGGATAATGGTTGTAGTTAGACATTTGATGGAACACAATCATTCGTTTTGCCCTTCTTCATTGGTTCACCATGTAAGATCACATAGAGATATTTCTCAATAACAGCTGTCATATTTTAATCTTTTAAAACAACAAGGGGTTAAAGTTGCTGATGCATTTCGTTGTTTGAGGACAGAAGCTGGGGGGGTCACCTGCGGTTGGTTTTGCATTGAGAGATGTTTATAACAATTTGGCAAAAGACGCTAAAAGGTGCTTTGATGGTACAGATGCTAATACTTTAGTTAAGTATTTTAGGCAACGACAAAGAAACGAGGAAGATTTTTTCTTTGCCTTTGAGGTTGATTTTAAAGGTTCATTGGTCATTTTTTTTGGAGGGACAAGCAAATGAAGGAAGATTATTGTTTATTTGGTGACTTGATTGTGCATGATACAACATATCGTACAAACAAATATGAAATGATTTGTGGGCCATTTGTTGGGGTTAACAACCACACTCATAATTGTATGTTTGGTTGTGGGTTTTTATTAAATGAAAGAATTGAATCTTTTGAATGGTTGTTTCACACTTTTCTAGAAGCAATGGGTGGGTTGCATCCTAAGACTATTATGACTGACCAGTCTTTTGCAATGTCTTCTGCAATTTCTTCAGTATTCCCTAATTCCAAACATCGTCTATGTGTATGGCACATTTCTGAAAATTCCAAGAAGCATATAAGGGATTTGAGGAACCAGGATGGTTTTTTTTGGATCTTTCCGATCATGTTCTGAAACTTTGTCATACCATTCCTGAGTTTGACTATTACTGGAATAAGTATGTTCATTTGGTATTGTCTTTTGTATCTTAAGTGACATTTATTTATTATATATTATTGTCACTTTCATTATAAATTTTATTTTTTTTCCAAGTTGGTTACAGAGCACTCGT